ACAATAACAGATAAAATGTAATGATACAACCAATGTGTTTTATACTTAGATAAATACTCCTTGAACGGCTTGAACAATGCCGTAAAATATTGATGAAYTATACGTAATATTATACTAAAATACTAAATATAAAATATATTTGTATGTGCAATTATACAATAATACCAACACCGCAAGACACAATAATTATTAATGCTTAACATGCAAATTAAAGGTTTTTATTAACATTTTATTTAATTGATAACATTTGTAATAAYTGTAATATTTTACAAACATTCGTATAAACATTAACAAACTTCGGCATTTTKATGCCATTATTCACTTCCATATAAAATAATAATAATAARAACATTAAATTGATTGATTATTACTTTTAATTTCAAATAAAGCGACAAATGAATTGAACACATTGATGATATGTACATAATGATGTACTTTTTTTTTATCTGTAATCAGTAATCTCCTTTTAGGACATTAAAGTTTTGATTTTAAACCCTGATGGTGTTTTCTGGTTTCCGGTAAATTATATCAAATAGGTTTTACTTTTAACAAAATAAAGAAGATCAACAAAAAAAAAAAAATAAGGGAAAACGGAAAAACGGAAATTTTGACGCAAACTCAATTTCGTTTTCTGGTGTGACTAGAAAACAAATAACCCTTTATAATTGAAATTCGGACTAAAATAATATTATTATTTGCGCAGTATAATTTCAATTAAATGTTGACTATTTTTAAGATATTAGATATTTGACATTATAATTTTTTTAGTTTTGATTTTCTATGAATATTAATAAAAAAAAAAATTGTTCAGTCAAATAGCTTGAAAATGTAGTACAAAATTCCTCACAATTCCTAAACCATGTAACTAATAAAAATAAATATAAATACAACTACAATTTTATAGACATTTTAAATTAAAATTTGGACGAAATTATATATCTAAACGGATACCTTTTAMTGATTTTAGWTTATTTTGTTCTAATTTAATAATATTAATCCTAAATAGTCACATGTGATTTTTGGCATACATTTTATTTATACAATAACATTTTAATATTCAATGTTTTGGGCAAAATTTTATTCTACTTATCAATAAATTAATTTAAATTCCGATATAAATCTAAATTATATCTCCTTCACTGAATTAGATGTCCTTAATTTAATCTCTAATATCAAACTTAACTCTAATGTAGGCCCGGATGGTATACCCTCTTTATTTCTATATAACTGTAGATTTATCTTAACTCCAGTATTAACAAATATCTTTAAGTTGTCTCTCAAAAAAGGTATATTCCCATCAATTTGGAAAACTTCTTTTATTTACCCAATTTTAAAAAAAAGGTGACCCTTCATTAATTTCGAATTATCGCCCTATCTCTAAGTTATCTATTATCCCGAAATTATTTGCACACTTTATCTCCTCAAAATTATCAAGATACTGTTCCTTCTTACTATCAAAATATCATCAATATAGATCAAACGATCTTCCTGTAATAATTTAGCTGTGGTAAAAAACATAATCCTTAATACTTTTGAATTAAATGCGCAAACTGATATTATTTATACTGATTTTTCTAAGGCATTTGACCAGGTCAATCATGCATTACTTATTAGAAAATTACAAATATTTGGTTTTTCAGGTTCTCTACTAAATTGGTTTCAATCATTCCTATCCGGACGCCACCAAATCATTAAATATCTAAATTTTACCTCTACACAGTTTAATATGCCTTCTGGTGTACCTCAACTTGTCAACTATTCTTTTTTATATATTTATTAATGATCTACCTAATGTCATCACTAATTCTAATATCCTTCTATTTGCTAATGATGCAAAATTAGTAAAAATTATTAAATCAGAACAAGACGCTTTTAATTTGCAATTAGACATTAATAACCTTATTTTGTGGTGTAATGAGAATAATCTATTATTAAATATACAAAAATGTAAATTTATGAAATTTTACCTAATTAAAAATCTCGTTAACTCTCAGTACTCAATTTCTAGCACAAATATCGAGCTGGTTAATCAATTTAAAGATTTGGGTATAATTTTTGATCGTAAATAAAATTTTTCTCTACATACTGAAATGATTAAAAATAAAGATTTTCGTAACTTGGGGTTTATTAAACGTTCTTGTGCTGCATTTTCAGATACTATTCCCTTAAAATTCCTCTACATCTCTCTTGTCCGTTCTAATCTAGAGTACTGCCCCCTCATCTGGATAAATAGTACGTCGAAACCAAGCTCTTACGCTAGAATCTGTCCAAAATATTTTTTTACGTTTTATCTCATTTAAATTTAACATAAACAGACCTACCCACGGCACATATAATAATGTTTTAAATTTTTTAATATTTCTCTACTCTCTGACCGTCGTACACTTTACTCTCAAAATATTTACAAAAATTAACATTAGGTTCAATAGATTGTCCTGAAATTCTCTCTTTAATCCGTTTTAAARTKAATTAMCTTAATACTAGAGATCCAAAACCCTTTTATCCACTTCTTTCAACAAAAAATTATATCTGAACTCTCCTGCTAACCTTCTTATGACTGCAGGTAATACTTTTGTCTTTGATTATATTTGAATATTAATTTGTATATTTGATTTGTATTCTATATCTACTTTAGCATTATTATTTTACTCATTCTCTAATTTTAAGTATATATTTAACTATAAATTATGTTTTACGTATAAATACATTTTTCACACACAATGTAATATTATTATGTTTTAAGACTGACGTTTGTTTATATTAAATAAATAAATAAATAATTAAATATATAATAAAAACATTCTTGATAATTTAGACTGAATATACAGCCTTTGGTCAAAATCACTTTTTATACTTATGCAACGATGTATCATTAAATTCAAACTTCACGCATATATTACAACGATTTATTCAATGATGAAAGTAAACTCAGCAATTACTGTACAGCAAAACAGATATAGGTTAGATACCTACTTTCCACCTTTTGTTGAATTGTTTAACAATGTACCTACCATTATATTATTTTAATTGTCACTAAAAGTTTTAAAACGTCCTATGAAATAAGATTCAGATAGTGCTTGTTAATATAACGATGACACAAATTATATTAAAAACTTGGATAATGAGATAAAAACTGCATGTCCCTTGGGAGTGATCACAAAACTTCACATATCTTTATATTTTGTTATTATTATTATCATTATTTTTTTTTTATTTGATCAACATTATTCTATATTTATACCATTTAAATGAAATTGAACTAAATATACTTCATCGTTAGTAAAATGAGTACTATTAAGCTGGATAGAACTTGAATAAGACAACTATCAATTATATTTTTAATAATCAAATAGTGCCTTTTAAAAATCAGCCATAATCCTCCTACCTACCTACCTAACAAAATAACTTGACCACCACTAATGAATTACAACGAGCTTTATATATATATATATACATTAGAGATGTTACGAACTGTTCGATTTTCAAACCGAACCGAACTCTGAGTGTTCGGTTTGGTTCGAAAACCGAACTGGAAATTCCAAATAATTGAACCGAACCAAATATCTAATAGTTCCGTTCGATTATCGAACCAGAGAAATAAAAATGAAAGTCGATGGAGTAACGGCTAAAATTATAAATTATTATTAAATAATTAATAATTAATAGATTAATATATATTAGTTGTTTAATGTTTTCTTGTTTTAAATATTGATGTTTTTCGCTTTTTCTTATMAGTTATCATCATAYTAATAATTAAAAATTAAAAATCTCATGCATAATAATTATTAACTAGGTAGGTATTAAAGTATTAAAAGTATTTAAGTAAATAGTAGTAAAATCTTTATTCAATAATTCTGAGGTATGGTGGCTAAATGATAAATAAATAAATAAATAAATATTAAATAAAATAATATCCAATTTAACTTTTAATGTTTGGTTCGAGTTCGATAAAATATTTAAAGAGTTCGGTTCGGGTTCGATTAAAAGTGTGTAGGTTTGGATCTGTTCGAGTTCGTTCATTTAAAGAAAAGTTCGGTTCGGGTTCGGTTCGATCTTAAATATTATGGTTCGTAACATCTCTAAATTATATATATATATATATATATAATATATGTGTGTGTGAATTAAATGTTTATTGTATAATAATGATGTTATAACGTCTTTTAATGAGACGTGGACGAATGTAGATTTAAAAATGTGTGATAAGAAACACACATATAAATTATATTAGGTACAATTAATAACCTGGTTTAATATACCTATACTCATTTTTATTTTTTTGAAAAACATATTATATTAGAGTAGAAAAATGTGATAACATCATTTTTAATAATAATTATTGTTATATAAACGTGTTTTAATGGTTTTCAATGAATATTAAAAAATGTTTATATTTATTAAGAAATATCAGAACATACGTATAATAATCTTACTAATAATTGTATCCTTTACTAAAATACTATAAATATAAAAAAAAACGAATTCTTTGTCATGAATTTCTTGGTTTAATAACTTGAAGGCTTAATACAAAATATTCAGACTTACTTACCAATAACAAACATTATAACATATAATTAAAAAGAACTGTGAAATTGATTTATAAGTTTTATACTAGCTTCATAAATTTAATTTGATTTGTTGATAAAATTATAATCATGTTTTTTGTTTTCTTAATGTCATGATGCATGAGTTGCTAAATTACACAATATCTTGTGAATATTCATATGAAGTAAAATTAGTACCATCTTTATGTTTTTACAGAGATCTTGTTTGTATAATGTATTTTTCCTCATTTTTTAAATATTTTTCTCTTTAACGTTTTATATTTTTAGCACTTGAAAATTAAACTTTAAATATCGAAACGAGATAAATTTACTGGATAAATTTGGATATTTCTTTCTTTAAAATAAAATATTACATTTTATACTCACTCTGTAAAAAATAAAATATAATTAATTTTAATACGCAGACCTAATATAATTATATATCTGTGTTCACAGAAAATTTGGTATCAAAGAGTTTGGCCGTTCTTACAACATGAAATGTTAAAACCAGACGTATCGGCAGCTGTCCTACATCCAGTAATATTCTTAATACAAGAGTCCAGTCTTGAGGACTACGAAACACTCATGTTACCTGCTATGAGGTATTATATTAATATTTGTTATTCAGTTAGATTTATTTTTTTATATATATAATTATTTAGCCATAATTTTTAGCAAAATATTCAATGGTCCAAAACATGTCCCTGTGCAAGTGATATTATTGGAAAACTTGCATGTGATATTAGAAAAGACACCAAGAGACGACATCAGAAAAGAAGTACTTCCATTATTGTACACAGCATTTGACTTCTCAGATATAGAAGTACAGGTAAGTTTTAATTGTGATTATATGATGCATGAAATTAAAACCTAAGAGTTAAATATTATTATTTAAAAATTGTTTTTAATAAATACTAAGCCAACTGGTTAGGTATTCAAAAACAAGTTAACTACCTAATTATAATATTATGGTAAAGTTAACTATAAAAATGGAGTATAATACGTTATTTTTAATGTGGATTTTGCTGTGTAGTTTAACTATAGTTTAACAATTCAATAAACCTATTTATGATCACTTAAAAGGAAAATATAATAAATTATCAATGATATTTGTTTGATCAACATTTTGCTGGTCATCATATAAGTCGGTGTCAAATTATCAAAGAACAACAATTTAAGTTACGCATCATGTTACAAATAAAAAATATTCAGTTTTTTTTTTTTTTTTAAACTGAAATTGGAGTTAATAACGTAGAATTCTATGATTATGTTTGTATACACCTACCTGAGATTAACAGATTATTTTTAATTACGATGTAATTAAACGTTGTATATTTTTTTGAGAGAGAAAATGTACAAAGAGACGATATTGGGTGATTATAATAATAATGTGGTATTTCAAAATGAATTATTTCACTCATGATTATTGAAGAGAGAACTTTGTATAAATAACTGGAAAATATGACTTACCTTCATCCACCATTGTTGCAATGTTAGAAAATGCAAACTATTTTTAATCAAATCTGTGGCACAAAATAGTATGCTATAATATATATATGACTGATCAAATTCTATTAATTTTGTTTAGAATCAATGTCGAATTAATTGGTATTTTAAATGATTTTATTTATGTATAAAAAAACACGAACATCATATATTATTTAATACATACCTAAGATAATAAATAAATTTAAATTAATACTTTAAGGAACTTTAAATTACTGAGATTTATTATTTTACTTAATAGTCTAATAATTAAAAATACTTCAATGAGTAGTTTATTTTGAAGTAGTGAGTAGATTAAGACGAGTTCCTAATACATATTTGGTTTCGGTATTCTATATCTTGCTTTTCATATTTATTTTTTATTTTT